ATCTACCCCACTATTAGATTGTCCAATCAGTGCCAAACCTGGTCCTCTTACCTCTCTCGCACAATCTCCACCCACCCACCCACCAACTGCCACACACACACATCCCTCCCCCACCCCACACCACGCACGCCCTTGTCTACCTTCACTCCACGACTACACACACACATCACATACACACCCCACTCCACCATCACCCACACGCACACTTCCCTACCCGCACCCTCCAACCCACGGCACACTAACACGTTGCCTCCCGTATTTCAGCGACTCCGAGAGACCCGATCGGAGGCGACGTGAACGCACCGACGGGTCCCGGCCCTGCCGCCGCCCAGCCGGACCGACCCCGCCGACCCCGCACTCACGCCCCGCACCCCCAGCAGCAGCAGCAGCAGCAGCCGCAGCAGCAGCAGCAGCAACGAGCAGCAGCAGGGCGCCGCGGAGGGGGCGCCGCTTCCGTGCCAGACCACGGCCAGGCCCATGCCGGATACCGCAGCCTTGCGTGAGTCAGGACAAGCCGGCACACGTGGGAAACACGGATTTGAGCAACCTCCGCAAAGGACTTCGCCGGAATTCTTCGGCGACATGTCAGGAGGCAGGCTGCGACGTTAGGGTGCGCCACCGTTGCTCGGCCTGGACGTGTAGGTGTGCGGCCACCGTTGCGCGCGACGTTTAGGGGCGTTTACCTCCATATCGTGAGATAGCGCCAAGCTTCCTTAGTATAACCTCTAACTTGATCATTCCACTAAACTAAACCAAACTGAAAGCAGACCATGGCTTGATCTCTAAGATCTACAGGCAGTATTCTTGTCCTTGGCTATATGTTCTTTTGGACGCTATGTTCGATGCTCTTTGCGATGCGACGTGTTCTTGTACACCTATACGCCACGCCGAATCATGAAATCATTTAAGTCATAAAAGCCTTTTGAATATGCTCTTCTAGCATGCTGATCGAAGAGCCACGAATCCGAAACTCCGCGATCTCGTTGTCATGGAAACATCGGGAAATAGTTTGACATTGCTAACCTCTTCATGAAGTGAAGCGTTTGATTGCAAATTACGGAGATTTTTAGATTTAACGACAGCCATGTGCGATGTCTGACTATTTTCTGATGTTTCCATGACTACGGCTCCGTCTTGAGCGTTCGCTCGTATTAAGACGTAGGCGTACAGTTGTGCGGTGAGTCGCTCACTGTAGGCGACGATGACAATGCTAATGGTATTTAGGACAACTCCATGTTTTTATGGAAACGTTTCCGTGCGTAGCGACGTAAATTGCAACTACGTCATTCACCGAGCATGGCCGCTCCTCTTAGTGAAGAGAGAATGAGATGGCGCGTACCTTAAAGTATATCGGTTTAGTTAAAGGCGTCGCATTGCACTTCGGTTACCATTTTTAGTTCGTTGGTATGGCGACGGTTAGCAGACGGACTGTCGTAGTTGAAGATTGTCATTCTGGTCATGAGGTCATGGGTCATTGATTGTCATAGGTCGATGATAGGTTCATGGGTCATGAAGTTTCATGCTCATGCCCTTATAGAAGTTACTGCTTTTGTTTTGACTATATATATATATAGACAAAATATAAATTATAAATAAATAAATATAATATATATATATAGTTATACCATGTAAATTATGTGGTACCATTCCTAGTCGTGTGTACTCAAATCTAGTCGTGGTACGTGGTAGATGTTTTAAGATGTGTGCTTATATCGTAGAAGTCTAGTTGAAATTGACTTACTTACGCGCGTGTCCGTCTGTAACCTTACCGCTGTTTGCGTCTCTTTGTGTCGTAGCGCCTCAAAGTCAGTGTGGTTACTATAGCGACCGGCATTTATCGTGTATTTACCTTTATCCCATTAATGCTGTGAGCGACAGTGGCGCCATCTGTCGCGCCAAGAGACAACGAGAATATGTCATGCGATCATGTCGGAAGCGGAAGCGATTATCCGGAAATGTTGTTCTCGATCGTTTGGTAATTTTACTCTATGCATAAGAGACGCGTAGTCGATAGTTCCTGTTAATTCCATTCGCTTCCCTAAAGCCGTTGCCGTGACGTCACCAGGCACCCCGCGCGTGTAACTCTGTACGGTAACTAGTAGTCCGACTGACGTGGCGGTTATGAAAGAGAAAGAGCGTTTGCGTATCGTTGCCATTGGTAACCGGAGATGGTTAGCAGCTAGTGTGGATGCGAACGAAGCGTTTAGACATTCACGCAAGTTCCAGAATAATTTCCACACGTTATCCGGAATATTGTCACACCGCGCAATGGATGAAGCAAACAGCGCCCTCTAGCGGCACGTGTCATGGCTAGTGGCGCTCCCTGCTGGCAGCTAGGCGGAGAGTGGCGCCGACGGGATGTCGTAATAATGGGTGACGTCACACTAATGGATGTAGATGTAGTTAGCTGAGCTGCATTTTCAAGCTTTCACAGCTGGTGTGAATGAGTGTGTGTGTGTGTACGTGCATGCGTGCGTGCGTGCGCGAATCTTTGTTTCCAGAGAACACGAAACAGCGAGCATGCGCGACTCACCGCGCACTACTTTGTGTAGAGTTCAACGTACTTGTCGTGTTTCCTTTCCCCCTGTACAGATTGTTCAAGATCCACGTGGGCCGTCTAGGAAATTATGGATGTGTTTTTATTATTCATTTACTTGTTTGTCGCGCCCCCTCCCGCACCGATATTTACCCCTCTCGTGCGTGTAAACACGATTGGTCGAAATTTGAATGAAGTCTCGTATGAATGCGTAATCACGTGCAAGTGATTGGACAGACTTGCGCCGCCTGGCGGTGAGGTCGACTATGGGTGTCCATCGTATTCCGATTACGGAGAAATGCGGCTCCTGATTGACGGTTAAAAAGTGTCGTAATTTACCTGCGGGTACAATTAACATATTTAATTGCGATAAAGGTGAGCAAGTCTGACTACAATGGTCAACCATAGACGACGAATGACGCAATATAACGATTGCCGGGTAACAAGTGAGCGTTTGTTCGGCGCGGATCTGATTCGGACGGTATTGAGATCTCCCGCCACCGAGGATCGAACCAAACAAGCGCCACCTAGCGTGTACGATAGTGATGTTATAAAATTATTTATTGTACGATTACTGTTATGAAATTACGACGACGTAGTACGATATCTTGTTGTGATAAGTTGTAGCTATAACGAGTAACGTAGTCGTAGCTATACTTGGCTAGAGTGCGACCGACGTGGGTAGAGTAGGTCGATTGGATGCAGGCCTATGCTTACAGACTGCCATACACCCTGCTTGCACGCGAAGACAGGAGAAACGCCTCGCTTAACTCCCATCGAGATTCACGTTACTACACCTATAGTGACCGTAGACGTACTTTTGTCACTAGCGCCACCTGGTGGCCAGGTTGTGCCGATGACGAGGTTATCAATTGATTCCGAGTTGCCTATAGAAAATGTTGGGATGTAAAATAGGTATGTTATTGAGTTTTACTATAGATGTATGGGTTGTTAACGAGAGACGGATTGATTCTACAGTTATCTGCTAATTATATATGATTTACAGTCACGCACGTTGGTCCCCGATGCAACATCATCATCATTATGTTGTAAGAAATAAATAAATATGGATTTGTTTGAAATTAAATTGTCGTCTCATGCGTAGTTCATTAACGTTCTTGCTGTATTAAGTGTACTTAACATATAACATGAACTTACTATACGTATTAGTGAATAGGTTGATGTGAAAAGGTCCCTATCACTGTGACTGCGTTTATCTATGGTAGAGAGCCCTTGTTCAGTCTTCTTAAATTTCCTACGCTGCGACAGGATATATTACAAAGCTAGCTCTCTGAGCGCATACCCAGTATTGTGAGTAGAATTGTTGTTAGAATTGTTGATTTGTTTTCTCATTATGCTATTATAACGTGGAAGAACTCAACTTAACACTTGATTACACACCAAGAATATTTATATTATAGTTTATTTTAACGTCTTCACAAATAATGCAGCCATTTTGTACCATCACATCCCCCCCCCCAATTCTTGAAACTACTCGTCTGCCTCTTCACAAAGATACATAAATGTCATCATATTTTCAGAGATGCCAACACATATTTGAAGCAATCTGTAGTTTCTGGCCATCAAATTAGTAGTTCGAGGGTCACTTAGTGACCCGAGTTTGCTAGGAGTGTCCGGCATGCCCCCCTGGAAAAATTGTTGATTCTGAGATGCAATTTCCTGCATTCTGAGGGTCAAAAATGACAATAATTTGACAAAAAATGACAATAATTGACAACAACAACAAAATCGATCACAGTGAAATTCGTAGTTTGATACAAACTGGTCGTAGTGGTGCAAAAGGAATAGAAATTCGTATAAAATACGGATAAATCGTAGTGGTTGGCATCTCTGTATTTTGTCGTATGTTATCATATTTTTCAGTATAGACGACTTTACACCTCTTCTAATGGTTAGCGAAGCATATAAGCAAAACAAGTACTCCTCTCTCTCTGCACAGTGTTACACACTGTTACAACTCCACCTATACTTGCTGGAAGCACAATAGCACCACCTATACTTGTTGGTGGCACAACGGCGCCACCTATACTTGCTGGGGCCACAGTAGCGCCACCTATACTTGCTAGGTGCATGGTAGAACCACCTTCTGTCATAATATATATGCCTTCTGCCATATATTATACATGCTGCACTCACCTATTTGGTGTGATGCACGCACCACAAAGGACGCAAAATTGGCTACCATGGGTTAGGACAGGCATTACGCGAGACCATCTGAAACATTGAACTTAATTTTTTTTTTAAGAAATCTCATGGTATATGAAATCCATTTAGTGGCTAATTTTTTAACCATGATCCAAGACCTGCTGCTGATTCATCAACCAATGAAATTGATTCAAAACATGGCAAGTCCATATATGAGAAAGATTCTGAACCAAAAGTGGTCAGCGCGCACCCGACAGCAATTTGCTACGAGGCGTGGAATGCGAGCAAACGCCCATAATCTCGAGAACGACAAGCGCCACCCCGTAAGCGAAGGCGTGCTGCGAGCGACCGAAAGCAGCCGGCGCCACCGCGGCGGTCAAGTTGTGTCATATCAATGTATATTGTTGTTATGTATTGTGTGGATGTGACTGCGGAAGGTCGCAGGAACGCAAGAAATTTAGGGTCTTAACACAGGTAGGTGTGCTGAGCTTGAGTCAATCATACAAGAGCGTCTCAGGAAGTTACTGTAAACGGAGCGCATGCTGCGAACGTGATTAACCAGCACAGCGCCAATCATGATCCTCACAGAACGCGAGAAGTGAGCATAACAGACTTGATTATAATGGCGTGAGTTTTATGTGAACCGAAAGGTGCGCTGCTGCGGAGCACGGAAACAGCGCCCAACCTACGAGGCCGTGCCTGCAAGCACGAAACAGCGGTCAAGCCATAAGCGAGGCGTGCTGGCGAGCACCACGCACGCAAGCCAGTAAGCGAGGCGTGCTGCAAGCATGACAGCAGGCGCAACCCCCTCAGCCCACTAACAAGAGGGCGTGGCTGCAAAGCACGACAGCAGGCCCACCGCATACGAGGCGTGCTGCAAGCACGCACAGCGCCAAGAGCACCCGGGATACAGAGGCGGGCTGCACAGCACGACAAGCGCCAACCGTACGGAGGCGTGCTTGCCGAGCGAGCCAAGCGGCCAGCCTGTACGAGGCGTGCTGCGAGCAACAGACAGCGGCCCCTACGAGGCGTGCTGCGAGCACCACAGGCGGCCACCGCCACCTACGAGGCGTGCTGCGAGCACGACAGCGCCACCTACGAGGCGTGCTGCGAGCACGACAGCGCCACCTACGAGGCGTGGCTGTGTGAGCGACGACAGCGCCACTAGCGAGGCGTGCTGCGAGCACCACATTTTCAGCGCCACCTACGAGGCGTGCTGCGGAGCCCGTTGGTGATACACAGCGCCACCCTACGAGGCGTGCTGCGAGCACGCACAGCGCTCACGGTACGAGGCGTTTTGCTGTCAGCACACAGCGGCCACCTACGAGGCGTGCTGCGAGCACGCACATTAGCGGGCCAGCCTACAGGGTGCTGCTGCGCACCCACAGGCGCCACCTACGAGCGTGCTGCGGCGCGACGCAAACAAGCTCCACACCGCACTGAGCGATGGCGTTCCACGTTCGGCATTCGACATG